TAGATGGCCATCAGTTTAAGTCTATGCCGAGTCCGAGTCAGCAAGCAGCATCGATTCCAAGCTGTACACAAATTTACCTTCGATGGAAAACGAGAAGTTTCATCACAACTCTATTCCAAAATCCCCCGTGTGCTTTGGAAAATTCAAATCAATCTGTATGATAGTGACAGAATATAAAACTAAAAATAATGCATTTTAAAATTTAGTTACCTAAAACTTCAATTGAAGTTATTTCCAGGAATAATAAACAATGAGCACAATTTCCCTTGATAAAGAAAAAAACCGAATCAACAGTTGTTTTCATATAAAAATTGCCAAACCTAAGACGTACTCTCAAAATGTGTATCAAGCCTTTAAAGCTCCCTAAGCAATACATGACAAAGAAAACTACAGATGTACGCTACTTCCTATTCTAAGAGGTTTTTATGTCCTTTCATCTCTAAATCAAAGCTCTAGTCTTAATTCTTTCAAAATTTCCACATTTCAAGATCCAGATCAAATAATTAGCTTTATGAAAATACAATTTGGTTTTCAAAAAGAACCATTTCCCTTTATTTATGTAATTGAATAAAGACCAAATAATCAGATTGAGTATCACCTTTGTAAAGGACCAGATAATCACTTTCCCTTGCTTAGTGTTTGCCCAGATGGGATCTATTCAAACCCCAGATCCTAAAAGGATTGGCCTTCCAGGGAGCTAGAGGGGGCCGGGGCCGAGCACCCTGGGCCCCTGCACTGTGCAGATGGAAGCCGCCACAGTCACGGCCATGTTCTCTGCCTGAGGAGAAGCTGTTGCAGGAGGCTGCGTGGCCTCTCCTCTAGGGCCAGTGGGGCCCTTCCTCCCCACCCCCGTTCATTCCTTCCTCCTCCCTCCAGGCTGCAGCACCCCGGGGCCAGTCCCTGCCTTCCTGCATCTTACTCTCCCCGCCTCCCACTGGGACCACAATGCCAGCTCCCTTAATCACACTGCAGTGACAAGTGACTCCCAGCCTCCAACCATGGACTCGGACTCGCAGCAAAGGTTTACTTCTGGCCCAAACTCTACGTCTCTGCTCACCATGGAGATCCAGCCAAGCTGCCCCACCATGGCCCAGAGAGAAGGCCACGAGCTCTAACCAAGGCCACGTTCGGCCTTTGTCATCTGAGCAGCCCTCCTTCCTCTCAGATGCTGACCAGAAATCTTTTGTGAGCAGCGATGATACAGAACTGAAGGCAGTTCCCAGAAAAGACGGATACATCTGGGTTTCTGGTGGCTTCAAGCCCGTTCCAGGGAGCTGGGTGGTTCTGAGCTGCTCACCTCCAAAGGTCAGCGAATCACCCCAAGAGCTGATGTGTGGGTAAATAACATGCCTGGGCCACGTGGGCCCTACAGATATGTCACCAGGGTCCCCGAAGGCACCACCAGAGACAAAGTGCAAACGAGGAAATCCATAGCCTGAAACTGCCATGTTGAAAATACAGTGTTTCTATGCCATTAAGTCGGAAAGTGAGGGCGTTGACAAGACCGTCCAAGGGTTCCACAGTGAGAGGCACACAGTCAGTTCAGATGGTGAAGTCTTGGCTTCAGGGACCTTACTTTGGGGTCCCTTTGAATTGTCGGGTCATCTCCTTAGTTACACCAGTGACCCCCTGCAAGTTGTATTCTTTCAAGAGTCACAATTGCTTGTCAGAAGCCTCAACCTTGCAGATTATCTTCATGAAAATTTCTCTGAATCATTGAATGACCTGCTGAGATTCTAGTCTGTGATCTGGGATGTCTGCAGCAAAGAATTAGAGCTGATCAAGAGCCACATTCTCATTTCAATTGAGGGGATCACAACAACAACAACAACAACAACAACAAAAACATAAATAAAAACCAGGGCCTACTAGATACACCCCATGGCCACCAGCTCAGAGCCACAGACTAACCCTGACATAACCCCAGTTTCCCTGGCGTGTTGCTCTGGTCAGAAACAAAGCACAAAATGTGCATTTTAGGTCCTTGTCAGCTGACTAGGTGAACCCGAACCAATCAGCTGCAGACAATTGGCCTGAACAGCAGCATCTGCTGTAAAGAGGATGACGTGGAACAGCTGGGCCCCACTGACTTGACTGAGAGACGGAAGAGAAGCACCTGGCTTTGCTCTCTTCCTGTGTCTGCCTCTGGAGATGGTGGAGTTGAGCCCATGGCCGACACACACCTGGCTTCCATTCGCAGCAGTTGGCCCCTGGAGGGAGGGCTGGGACAACTTACTGCTTGTCAGGGTGTCCTTCCGACATCCCAGGTCGCTGGGGCACCTCCCTCTGGGCTGCGCTGATGGGCGGGACAGCACTCTCCTCCACACCCCCTGCTCTGGATGGCAGAAGTGGGGACTGAACCTAAGGTGGAGCTCAGGGATGGACAGAATCCATTATTAAGCCCCAAGCACCCCATCCCCAGTAAGCTGTGACGAACACAACTAACTCTCCTGAAGAGCCCAGTTTCAGCCATTTTTTTCAGAGACCTGACAGCTGTCAAATGGCTCTTGTCACCCTGAGCTTTCATAGAACAGCCTTGAGGACTGTGGCTGTCCTGGATGCCCTGCACCTGCTTGAACCAATCACAGGCCGACGTATGGAACATTTGGAAGAGTGTAGCTGTTACCGTGTTCCCCCAACAATAAAACATAACCAGAAAATAATTAGCCTTGAAAACTAGAGCTGAAGAATGGCAGCCTCAATCACCTTGCCTTGCCTGCTGTCACAGAACAGCCACTGAGCAAGAGAATAGTGATGTACTGTCTTCTCCATGACACTGGCCATCACCATGGTAACGGCCAGTGCTTATTTTCCAGTTAGGTCTTATTTTCAGGAAAACAGTATGTAAGCAGCACCCACCTCACACTTGCCAGGTTAGTGGAGAAGGGCTCCCTCTGATGTACACACTCACCCCCAGTGGTGCCGCACAAGCCCTGATAAAATAAAGCCTCACTGTGGTACTCCTGTAAAAAAGTAAATGAAGAAATAAATAAAATAAAATAAAAAGTATTGGCCTTAGGAGCAAAACCATCACTGAGAATGACAGCATGAAGTGAAATCAGCAGGAAAACTCCAAGGAGTCCTAGGTCTGAGAAGAAAAGGCCCTGTGCCTCTCTACTCTTTCTCCTCCATCTCACAAGTTTGTGAAAATTAATACTTGGTTAAAAAAAACAACCAACCCAACAGTAGACTTGCGATGCCAGAAGAATCAGGAGGAAAAAGTGGAGGGGACAGGCATTACTAGCATTAGGAGTAAAACCATCAGCACCAGGGCTACTGATATGGTACACAAACTGTCTCATTTAAACTTCACAGAAACTTGGAGGCCAGTGTTGTTCTTATCCTCACTTGGAGGAAACTAAGGAAGAAAGTTCTCTCTCAAATTCTATCAGAGCAGAGGCAACAGAATCATATCTTCCTTGTGAAAGAAGAAATTTCTTATAATATTAAATAACTTGCCAATACCATAAACTACTACATAATCTAAAAAGTCTTTGTACCTCTTCTAAAATAGTTCTGCCGGTAGTACTTTAGTTGGATACAAGTAAATAAACACCACCAAGTCAATGTGCTGTAGATGCTTGGAACTTTACTTGACACAGGTTTCTAGAACCTCATATGGCGAATGAGTTCCCGGAGTCGTGGCTATGTATTGAAATGTGTTCTATGGCAACGGAATACATAAAACTGCAATGCTGCAAGCGTCATTGTGGGGGTGGGATTCAGAGGGGGGAATGAGTCTGAAAGTGTGTCATCACTTTTTTCTCTGTCTCTCCCTACTTATCTGCATGTGTGCGCACACAGACACACACACACACACACTTTCAAGTAGTAAATGTTCAGTTACCCTTGCTGGGGGACATGGCCATTTTCAAGTCTGTTTTTCTCCTTTCTTCAAATGTTAGGAGATGGAGAACCAGCCACACTGAAATTTTAAACTTTGTGCTACACAAGATGAGAGAGGATGGCTTGTAACAAACAATGTAAAAATAAGTAATCTAGCTCTTTTTCAAGTATATAATCAGTGCTTAAAATTCACAGCAGCAAAAAGTTACAGAGAAAATTGCCATGATAGCATTTTTAAATTGTGAGGTTTATCTTGTGACCCCTACTGACATTAGAGAGTAAAGACATTTAGGTAATTCAGATCTTGACTGCATAGCAATTATCCATCAGTGGGCAGAAAATATTTTGAAAACTTAATTTTAAAAGAGAAAACTTGTCTTTGTTTTTTTAAAAAAAAACTGACGATGTTTTATTATTAATATCTACATCGAAGAACTGTTAAATCAGAAAAGGTCAAATTTAGAGCAGTCAAAAGATGACCATCATTTAGATATAAAGATTATTTCTATGTCTCCTATAGTCTAAAAAAGCTATTTTTGATTAACATAAATAATGTTTTAATTTGAAAAAAATCTACTTCTGTAAAGCAATTTCATCCATGTAGAGAATACTTAGGAGACTAAATATTCAAGGAAAGGGGCTTGACCTGATTTGTGAGAATTGTTTTAACTCGCCTGCCTCAAAGAGGAATCCAAATGAGCAGCCCAAAAAGACCATCTCTCGCTCCCTTCAGCCTTTCACTTAAAAGTGATATAGTTCCTTCTTTCGGAAACCCCTGGATCAATCTAGTTCCCAGAAAAACAACTAGTAATATAGAGTAATAAGGTTGACTGTCGCTGTTCACCTCACGGCGAGCAGGAAGAGATGGTGCGTGAGCAGGTGACTAGAAGACAACGAAGCTAGACAAACTGACGGATCACATGGGAATCCTTGATTAAGTGTATTCACTGCTGATTCTGCATTATCTGATGGAGAAAATGACCCCTTTAATATAAAGACATTATCTGAAACCACAGAAATAAACAGCAGGTCGAATACCTCTGAACCAATCAGAGGGTTGGGACACATGTAAAAATGGAAGAGACACGGTGACGAAGGAATTCAAAAGTCCTGCAGAATTCTGTGAATCCAGTTGCCACAGCTCACATGGACGCCATCTCCTTCCGGTATCGGTATCCCGTTTCGATGTGATTCTTCTTCAACAATGGCCTCTACCCCAACTTGGCTAGTGGTGTGTCATCACAAAGCTTGCGAATCAGGAGGGCAGGGGCTTGAGTTATTCCAGCAAAGAAACAGAACTTACCCTAATCAGGGCACCCGAATCAGCTCTGCCCACAGACGTGACACAGGTGAGCAGGAAGACAAGTTGCTACAAAGTGACCATGGATCGTAGGAGTGGAGTGGATATAAACAGCCTGAAAGGGAAAATTAAAGGTTAAAGTAAGAATTCTATCTCATGTGTAATTATCTATAATATATGAATACATTATATAATGCTATATAAATTGTAATCTCTATTCCAATATATTACTATATTCTACTATATATATCTATGTAAGAGAAAGGCTACATTTGTGTGGAATCTTCTTTGTCGTTTTGATCAGAAGGCCTCCATCTAGAGGACAAAGTTTTGGTTGGGGAGTTCCTGAATATTAAAATCAGAAACTCTAACAAAGCGGTGATTATTATGGAAAGAACACTGTAAAGTTAAGCGATATTACTAAGCATTTAACTAAAGAAAACATTCACAGAAAATATTCTCTAATGGAAAAGATTTTCTAACTAGCCTTTTGTGGAGAGGTACTAAGCTTTACAAATCTCCATATTTTTGAAAAGCTGAATTTCACATAATTAGAGAATTTTTAAACAAGCAAAATGAATAATTTGAGTGTATTATAAATAAAATCCTTTTTAAGAAATCATCTTGTTTATGTAGCTCTGTAAAAAAAAAACCCACTTTCTTAATTCATTGGAATTAATCCTTTTATATGCTTTGCTCGTTTGAGATTCATAGATTTTTCCATTCCGATTAATCTTCAGGATATTCCTTTATTCATTTATTCACAAATACATTTGAGAATCTGTTGCATATCTACAGGGTTCCAGGCGGTATAGTATAGAGCAAAACTCATTTTGTCCCCTCTTGGATCTGGCATTCTAGTGATTTAAATGACTCAACACTAGAGGAAGGGGCAAAATATAGGTAGTCACAAATTTGACAGGATTTCCCCCTTTTGAATGGTATATAGAACATATCTCGCTTTCACATGAAGTCATTTTTGAAATGTTACTACTTTCTTATTTTGAGTTCCACCAAAAGAAAGTACAAAATGAGGGCCTCCATTCCCCTAAATGAAGTGTTGAAATGTTTTCTCCATGTGGCAAGAATTATAGAAACATAGTCAGTAACTAAAACAAAGCAAAAATTTGGGGGAAGAGTATTTACATAAGAGAGAACTGCATCAAGATAGTCTTTGTGGGGCCAAGAGACAAAGTTTAAAGCAGGATAAAGAAACAATGTGCCCAAGCACTAAAAAAGCACATGGAGCTGAGCCATGTTGAGTGGGTCTTGAGGACAGTGCTCACTGGGTCTGAAATGCTGGTATGTTTTGTTATGTGCTACCCCAAGGCACAGACGTTTAATCCTACCAACCTCACCAATTGGGAAGCAAAGGCAGTCAACCAAATGCCTGTTTGGGTGTGTACGGGACATGTGGAATCCTTCGCTTTGTTGCACAGATACTCTGAGCCCCCTCTGTTGCCTGTACTCTGGTGGATGCCCATGTTCACAATCTTTCTCTCAGTCCCACTGTGCCAGCTTCTCTTCTCAGCCTTATTTCTGCTGCAGCCTAACATCACTCTACCGTCCATGAGCCAACAAGTCAAAATGCTTCCTCCAATTTTGTAATATATTTTATAACTACCTATCTTGGGGTAGCTATATTTGCCTAGGAAATATACATGTGTGGAAAGCACTACTCATTTTTATTTAACCTCTTTTTGCAAAAGTTAAAATCTAGTCATTGAGTTTTCATTTTAAAACAGAATACCATTGTTAGGAGTATAGCAGAAAGAAACTTTTCTTTCAATATGCAAATTGTCATTAGTAATTTATGAAAAAGCTTTTGAATATCTTTAAAAATAGAATATAAAAATGGAATGTTTTTCTTCTCTTACAATTATAGTCTTTTCAACAAATTAAAATGTTTGATTTGAAGCAGAGTCAGATGTTAATGAATCATTTTACTGCTTTCAAGGGCAGGCATATTTTCCTTTCCAACAAATGTAAGATGTCATTGGAACTATTTTCTAATAGAACACATTTTAAATGTATGTTGGTGAAATTAAAAAGTGCTGCTTTGTGCGGGTGGTGGTGAAAGTGACTGATTGTCATCATTTATGATCTTTCTGCCTCATTCTTCTGGCCTTTCCTACCCTGCTCTTTTTCTTTCTTAGTTTCCACAGGTGTAGTCAACCTGTAGGTAACAAGATATGGTTTCAATTTCAATCTTTGAGAACGGAAAAGCATGAACTCTAGCACAGGGAATCCAGGGACTGCCTGGAATCGAGTCTCACCTCTGCCATTTATGAGCTCTCCAATGTTAGTTACTTGAATTAACTTAGCTAATTTCTCTGTGTCTCATTTTTACCATTTATAAAATGAAGATAAAATTAATAGATGTGTCATAAGACTGTTACAATTAAGTGAACTCATATTTGCAAAGTTCTTAGAGCTTGGCCCTATACCAATATGTGGTAAATAAATATGTTGGCCTAAAGACAAAACTCTGCTACAGTCCTAGAAATAATTTCTTTAGAGCAAAATCTGGAAAGTTAGTGGCAGCATCTAACTTTCTGTTTATCTCCATATTGCTCCTTTTCTGACATAACAAGTGGAGTCTGTTCCAAGAAGTTGAAACGATTCCTTTGGTAAATAAAATCCCTGTAGTAAATACTAGTTCTTTTTGTAAATAAAAGTTCCAGAAGATGCCCATTGTCTCCAGCCCATAGGTCATGACAGAAGGCAGGATTTCTTCCGAAATGAGATGACAGTGAAAATAGTATAAAGAAAAGACTACACCAGAAATGACTGAAAGTGAAATACAGGCAAGCAGAAGAAAACATTTACAAACCCAGTGATTAAAAGCATGCAAGGGGTCCTGTTACCCTTGGCTTTCTCCTTCCTGGGCCATGGCTACAAGAGGAAGGGTCCACGCCTGCTTGTCATTAGCCATAAATACAGAGGTGAAGTGTTCCAGGGCAAAAACATCAAAGGCTACAGGAAAGGGCACCGAGGCCCGGGACTCCACTCAGCCTCCCTGAAGAGCAGGGTTTAGCACCATTTTCCAGCACACTCACCAAACCAGCAGCTTTAATGCTAAGTGTAAATTTTTTTTACCAGCTCTGACACAAGAGCCTGCAAAAGTCATTGTAAACAGTTACTCTGGTGGACTAAGGAGCCCAATAAAATTAGAGCCAGACTTTATCCTACTGTCTTTTGGGTGGGGACTGATTAGGACCTTCGAATTTGACAAGGATGAATGAAGCCCCCTCATTCTTGCAGATCCCCTGAAGGGTTCTGACATCACTCCCAAAGCACTCACCCTCTAAGAGCCCCATCATATTGACCTCTGACCAAACAGAAAGATCTGGCTCCTGAGAGAGCACTGAGCTAGCTATTCATTTGTAAGGAAGTTGAAGAGCAAGTCTAGGGCCCAGGAAATCATTTGGATTTAGTAATTGATTCTTGGATCTTAAAGTGTGACTGTGTATTTTTTTCTCCATAATTGCTAAGTTTTGACAAATCTCTATTCAATATCTACTCTCCAAAAACTAAATAGAAGTAGTAAAAATGTTAAAATGCACAGTGAGGCAAAAGTCCAAGAAATATTTTTCTTTACATTATCAAGAGAACAGTAGTATTTTTTTTTTTTAGATCAGAAGTGTAATTTCTCTGTATGGTAGGAGAAATATAGCTATGCTAAGAATGTGATGTCATTTTGGGTTGAGTAACTCTCCTTACCAAAAACTAACCACTATCCATCTTTACCCAGAATGTGCCTATTTCTAAGTACAGACATTTCCAAAAAATTAATTTAAATTACAAAAACTTCCTGATGCATACCGAGAAATAAAGAATACCATAGCACACTTTTGAAGAAAGAATATGGATTCAATTTGGATTAGATTTGGCCGATCCCCACTAACATAAGTTTTCAGAGTCCCCAACCACAAAAGAAAAGTGAATGAAGATGAGAAACAGCAGCAAGCTTTGGGGAACTACAGTGCAACTGGATGAATGATAATGGACTTGCCAAACCCCAGGAAATGAAATCCTAGCCTCGCAACAGACAAAGTTCAGGAGAAAGGATTTAAGTTGCAGAATCTCCCAATAACACAGCAGTACAGGGACTTCAGGAAGCTCTCTGATAGAAGGCGGTGAAGTGGGGAGGACCCTGGAGACAGGAATTATTGAAAATAGAAACCAGGCAACAAATCCCCCCTCACCCCACTCCAGAGCTCCCACAGACCCTCCGTATTTTAGTTGCAAACTGAAGAAGTATCCTGCAGAATAGGTAATCAAGCAACTCTAACTGGGAGAGGAGGACAGGCAATACTAAGGGTAGGAGGCCTATACGCAAAGAAGGGCGGCTGTGAGGTGCTGGATGGCCACTTGCAGCCCTAGATTTGTGGGAGTTGACATAAGCCCTCCAGACCCAAGGCGGAAGATTGTTCACTGGAGAGCTCAGCCTACAGATGGCGACATTGGGCTCCTCAGAGAAACTGCCTCACAAGACATCCCAGCATGAAGACAAGTCCCACCATGCCCCTAAGAATCCCGGTTCACTCCCCAGCTTTCAGAATAAGGAAACTGCAAAGAACCACAAGGAAACTGGGGAAATCTTCTGCTCTTCTAAAATGGGAATCAGAGACCAAAGCAACAAAGAAGAAAAGGAAGTTATTTTAAAAAAAGGAATTTGGATACTTGGAAAATACCTTGCAAAAGCAAAATATAACAAAACTCTCTCATTAATATGCTTGGAGAGCTAAGAAATAATAAAGCATCTATAAAATAAGACCAAGATGCTACCAAAAAAAATGACCCAAATATAAAAGGAATTTGGGAGATTAAAAATGACATATTGTTAGTGAGAAACTCAAAGAGATGGGAAGATATTGCTAGGAAAAAAGGTCTCAAAAAAGTAAATTCAAAACTGGAAAATGAGATGCAAAATAACTATTGTTAGTAGTACCAAAGTAGTCAGGTAGTTCCTATCCAAATAGTATTAGTTCCAGAAAAAAAGAAAGCGAGAAACCAAAGTATCTTAAGTGGGAAGGAAAGGAGAGGGATCAATAGTTCAAGAAAATCTCCCAGAGTTGTGGAACAGAGTTCACTGGGCTCAGGATGAAAATCAAACAACAACAACAACAAAACAAAA